GTATTTTGTCAGCAAAAAGAAAGAAAAGTCATGTCTGTTTCGCCACATTGTGGTCCGCCGCATGCCCACGCAGTCAGTTGCATTTCATGGCGGCATTCTGCGCGGCGTTGCAGCTCCGCCTCGTGGCCGCCCCATCGCTGCAGCGCGGCGGCCCTCTTCGGCGTGTGCGGGGCGGAGACCAGCGAACAATCGTGCGGGGAGCCCGCCCCTCCAACGGAAGGGTGTGCGCACAGCAAAAAAAAAGCAAAAAATCAAAAAAAGAAGGAAAAGGGGCTCCCAAAACAAAGAAATTAACGAGCGGGAAGGAGCCGACGTCGTTTCCAGCGCGGGCCGCACCTCCCCCCTGCTGCTCCCTTCCGCTCACACCAGCGACACGCAGCCCCACAGCCCCAGCAGAAGAAGCGGCAGCAGCACCGCAGCCCCACACCCACGCACGGAGCTGTCAGCCTTTGAACTCTTCGCCCTCGGGCCAGCTGTGCTCTTGGAAGTAACAACGTCGGGCGCGGGCGCAGGCACCGCGACACCCACACCGTTACTGGAGCTGTCTTGGAGTGGAGCAGAACCCGCCGGTGGTGTCGCATCCCTCATCACTGAAGTGGTGGCTGCTTTCTTGTGGAGGACACCAATCTCCGTGTCACTCAGCCAGCGGTTGTATAGCAGGACATTGGCCACCGTCACACTGCTCTCGCCACTCACTGCCTCTTCTGCACCGGTGCTGCCGCCCCCGCTAATGTAAAAGTGCGAGATCGTGCATGAATCCGCTGCACAAGACGGTGCGGCTGGTTGTGAACTCCACACAGGCTGGCCGTCAATGTACACGGAGCCCTGCCCGCTGCCCTGCCACACGAGTGCCACGTTGTACTTTTCATCTGGCTTCCACGCGCTGCCGGATGCGGTGGGCGCTCCGTCCTTGGACGTCAGACTCCACGTGTTGTCTTTCGTGTACGACAGACCAAAGAGCACACTCGTACCGCCATCATTTCCCTTCAGCTTTGCACCCAACAGAGGAATTGGGCTGCCGCCGTCTTCCGGCACCGCGTGGATCGCCACCGTCGCCACAAGAGTGAACTCGTTGTTCGCAAAGTAGTACGGCTGGTTCTGCCCCTTGCTGCCCACCGGCCACTCCGCCCCCGCTGCAGCGCCTTTGAACCTCACGCCCCACGCCGTGCTCGCCTGCCGCACATTCTTCACCGTTGCGTTCACGCCGAGGTACTCGTCCTTCCATATTTTCCCAGCATCAGTTCCATCCGTTAATGTGTTGGACAAAAAGCCAACCAGCCCTTCCGTGGGAATAGGGCCATTACACATACCCTTCGCTCGCGGGTCGAAAGTGCCACCGGAAGTGCAGCTTTTTAGTGCAGCGTCAATTTCTTTCCAAGTTTTCACCACTTCTTTTATCCGCGGCAGCTTGTCAGTCAGGCGCACAGAGACAAGGCTGAATGAGTCATCCCCATCATTCTTCTTCTCGTACAGCAAAACCAACTCCTCCTCCTTCTCACTCTTCTTTCTGTACAGCAGGGAGCTGGCGGCAGCGTCGTGCTCTTCACTGGATACCGGCCCAACGTCATGCACACGGGCATTGTCTGTCACCCAAAGATGCAGCCGGCCCTTTCCGTTTTTGTTGTCTTCCTTTTTCTCCTCCGAATACACAGGCGTGGTGAGGAGCATCACCTTCTTGTCCTCGATGGCTGCGGTGATGAAGCCGCTCCGCACGCCGTCCCCTTGACGCTTCAGTGAGGTGCCCCACACGCGCGAAATTGGCTCGCCTGATGTGTACCACTCCCTCGAAGTCACTGTGGACTTGTACACGTCGTAGTAGCCATCCTTGCAGGGAGCCAAC